TTTAAGACATGGAGAGCTCAGACTTTCTGTGCAGACAGTCCAAAAGTACAGAATTTTCTGCATAAAATTCTCCTTTTTGTCTGTGTGTAAAATTCAGCTTCTGGCCTTAATTTTCCTTCAGTAATTGCAACAGAATTTGAAAAAGAAATATGCAATTTTACATATTTACAAGACTGAAGAGGCTAAAAAATTACTGCTTTTTGATCTGTTTAATTTTATTATATGGCATTCAAAAAAAACTAGTGATGAATATGTGCTATAAATAGGTAGGTTAGTTAGATTAGACATTCAGAGAAATAGGATGTTCTACAAAAGATGATCTGTTAGAGTAGAAAAATAAATTTGATCAATAGGGTTCAGTTCTTTTTCCACTGAAATCTAGCAATATCGCCAGTGCTAGCAGAAGAAGGAGAAAGATATGGAGGTTCCTTGCCATGGACTGCCAAAAGGAACGATGTATATCAAGTCTGTGAAAGGCTGCAATAAGCATCTTTAGAAAACTCAGACTCTTCAATGAGGGTTGCTACTTTAACACATCTAGATATTTGCTGATAAATTTCCATTTTTTTTCAATGGCAATAATTAAAATAAAAAATCCAAATAACGAAAGAATGCAAAGTTACTAATTTACACTAGTGTGTAGTGGTGCATCAGTTTATAATTTCTTTCAAAACCAAGAGATTCTAAACAACTAGTTCTTTCCCTACTCAGACCCCACATAATTTGCCTTTTCTAAACCAATTCCCTGACAGTAACTGCAGATAAGGTTTTTGCCCTGACCTTTATATCCTTCCCAAATGTGGTTGTCTCCACACACCAGTTCTACATCCCACCTTTGGCCATGAACCTTTCTTTGTGCCCCCAGCTGTAATTTCTGCAGACTTTAAGGATTCTGACATGGTACCACCTCATACTCCTCTTTTCCCTCCACTAGGTAGCTCTTGAGACCCCTCTGCTGTAAGAGGCAACCATGCAACAAGGGAGATGCATTGGTGGGGGAAAGATGCACCGGTCAAGTCCTCTTATGATGGATATTGCATAAATGACCAGAAATCAGTGCCACTGCTCCATATTCCAGTGCTTTACCTGAGGTTGCCCCTGTGAAAGCACAGCAGACCTGTCTATTTCATAGAATGTATTCTTGTAAGGTATTTGCCTACTGGCAAGAAAGGGACTGTTTTAAAAGCTTTGTCTTCTAGTGGATAAACAGCAACAGTTAAGGTCCTTGAATGTGTCCTGTAGAGCATTCACTGGGATCGGAGAGAAAGTGGAGGGTGGTGCAGCTGGGAGTGGTGAGGAGACTGGCTCTTGGTGTCACTCAATATCAGGTCTTTTGCATACAGCCTATGTGAGCAGAGTCCCTGCTCCTTCTGATTGTGCTTTCCTGTAACAACAGGTGCAGCAAAAAGGGAAGACAAGCACACATCCTGGAAGCCTGAAATTTTCAAGCCAGAGGCTGAGAAGAAGTGGGGAGACAAGGTAGGCTGAAGAAATGCAAATGTATCATGCATGATATAACTTACAGCAGAAATGCCCTGTGGTTGTGGCATATGCAGTCAGAGAAAAGTTTTGGCACTGGTCAATTGGTCTTCTGCAGGAGCCAATTCCTACTTGCAGGAAAACATCAGAGACAAATCTCAGAGGTCAGTTTCTCTTGGAGGGGCAATCCAGACACATGGAAAAATCATTATGTTTTATTAATGTGTAGTTTTTGTCTTCCCATTGCATCTTTCAAGTATGATTCCTCTGAATCATACATGAAAGATTATTAGAAAGGCACCTCCCTGAACAGAGCTGCCCATTTTCATTTTGTTAAGCTGAAGGGTCTTGGATGTTCTAAGCTTCTTTTGCACTCTTCATTGTCAAGGTGTTGAAACATTTACAATACATTTCAAATGGCAAATGTCACCCACTCACCATCAGTTTTTATTTTCTGCTTGGCCTGAGCAGACAGAGGCACAGGCAGAAACTTCAGTTATTGTTTCTGTGTTTCCCTTCTCTCAAGACTTTCACTGCTCAGAAATGCATCAGAAAGCCATTTTTCATAAGCAAATCTTAAAGCATTCTATCACCTCTTTATAATTTTTTGTGTCATAATGTGAGTTGAGTGTAGAGAAATGTTTTGGGTTATTTATCTCAAATTAGAAATATGTGTCTTGAGCAGAGTTGATGTGAATAATATTAAAAACAAACAAAAAAACCCAAAAACTCAAAAAAGGAGTAGTTTTATGATGTAACAAGATGTCCAAACTCTGAGGAAATAACTTCTTTATTAAAAAGACCAAGATGAATGCTGATTTGAAGGCTCAGTCTCAACTTAAAATCATGCCCCAGTTTGAATATCTTTTAAGCTATTATTAAAAGCAGTATCTTAACATCAGCAACACTGAATTATAAATGGTTAGTCAAACAGGATTTTCCACATTAATTTGTTCCTTTTACAAACTATCATTTTGGATGTTGGTTAATTTCCCCTGTTACTTTTAAGTGTTTCCATTATACAAAGAGAAAAAAAAAAAGAGTTTAAGAAAACTGATTGCATAAAATAGAAAGGAATATGCAATAGGCAGAAAATGAGAGAAGGGTACAATGGGCTGAAGGAATCATATTGCTCTTAAACAGATCTGTAAAGGGACCTGAGGTTTGCCTAATCATTCTGTGCACCAGCACTCCCCCAGCACATATATATGTATCAGGGGGTGGTATGCATGTTACACAAAGTACATACATATGAAGGTGTATATAGTACATGTAGCTGAAACAAAACATCCGTGGTACTACACCACTATTATCATAGATCATGAAACAGCTAACATTTTCCTGGGAACATGAGACTGGAAAAGGAAGTCATGTAAGATAAAAAAGTTGGAAGAATATCAGCTCTTCATATTGGTATTCAGATCCTGGTGTTGCACATGCCTCTTCCCTGTGCAGCACGATGCATGTCAGCAGTACTGCTTGGGCAACCCAGGGCTGCTCCTTCTGAGCAGGGGCAGATCTGTCTCTTGGTGCACTGTGAAATCGCTGCCTACGGAGGCACAGAGCACAAGCTCTCATCCAGTCCCCGGTGCCCACCTCCAACAGTGCATGTGTGTGCGTGGCAGCCTGAACGATGTGCACCTCTCATCCAGTGTGAAAGCATCAGACTACCATGTCTATCCTGAAAGTCAGGGTGCTGTAAAAAAAGGCATCCCTGGGACTGCCAGAGCAATTAGTCTGACTGTAGCAGGGACATGCATGCATTATAGGCATCGAGCTAAAGCTGCTTCTTGCACCCAGAAAAGATTTCCAGGTGAAAAACAACTCCAAGACAATTAGACTGAGGAAATTAGGGTTGAAGTGGCCCTTTGAGTCAGGTAAGATTGCTTTCTCTTTGTTTCTAAAAAACTCGTGGACCAAGTCACCTCAAACCACAAATACCTGCAGCTTTGTTTTGTAATAAAATCAACATTTTCAATAGTGAGACTAAGAGAAGCTTTATGAAAAGCACTGCATCAAAAGCCAGTCTTTCACTTCCATCAGTAAACATACCTTTTTTGTCAAGAACCACTAATTTTTTGGGGACTTTCCAAATGCAGCTGGAGCTCGGGTACCTTGCTAAATCGCATGTATCAGTAACAAACTTTTACTTGGCTGTGTGTTGTGAGCCAGGTTATGAACAAAAGTGTATATGAAGCATCTGGCATTGTGAGGGCAACAACTTAAATATATAGATACATATACATATATATACACATATATATATATATATATATATATATATATATATACACAAACACACATACTTTTCCCGAGAGCCAGTCCCACCTTGCGACTTGATGGAAAATGTTTGTGGTAATGTTCATTTACAGTTTCTCAGACTTTATTAATATCAGGAAAGCAATCTGCAGAACTTTAAAAAGGCAAGGTGTCTTGTCAGGACACATCATTTCCTGAAGGATGGAGATACAGGAACCAAGGGCACCCTGGTTCCTGCTGTTTCTGAACCGCAGCATGCTGCTGTGAGAAACCTGCTCACAAGGAGCCCGGGGGAAGAAGGGAGATGAGGGCCAAGGCGGGAGGCAGCGGAGAGCCCTGTTTGGTAGGGTGAAGGCCAGAGGAGCCCGGCAGGGTGCTGGGGAGGCTGGCAGGTGGGCTGGGAAAGGAGGAGCAGGCGCAGGCATCACCGCCACTCTTGTCCTCGCCCAAGCACTTGTATTTTTCCCCCAAAAGAGCTATTTTTCGGCGTCACATGGCTTAGGTGAAACTTTCCTTGAAGTCTTTCAGTCAAGTCAGCCTGCGGCGCCAGAGCAAACGCGAGCCCAGAGCCGCAGCATACGGAGAAAACCCAGGCGAAGGGCACATTTCCCCCCGCAAAAGCCCTGAATTTTTGGCGGGAGGGAGAACGGGGTGTCCGAGGCATCGGTGCGCGGGAAACGGGGCTGCAGATGCAGGCTGAGCTGAAGGATGGAGCGGGAGAGGAGGGAGAGGGAGGAAGCGCGACCCGAGGCGGAGGGGCCGCTCCGGGGGGGCCCGCCGTCGCCCCGCGCTGCCTCCTGCCTGTGGGCGGGGTGTCGCCGCACTTGGGCCGCCGCCGGGGCGGGGCGGGCCGGGCCGGGCCGGGGGGATGGCGGGGGAGGAGGAGGAGGAGGAGGAGGAGGAAGGGGGGAGCGGGGGTGTCATGCCGAGAGCTCGCGTCGCAGCCCGGCAGGCCGCGGCCCGACCCGCACCCCGGGGCGCAGCCCTCCGCCGCTCCCTCAGGCAAGCGGCCCAGCTCCCCGCCGGGCCCGGGGCACCCGCGCCCCGGCAGCAGCCAGCCGCGTCCCGAACGGGCGGAGGGAAGGGGGGAAGGAGAGCGGAGCCCTCTCCGCCGCTCAGAGGAAGGGGAGGGAATGGGGAAAGTTTAGTGGAGGGTATTTGAATCGGGAGTTATCCCTAAAGAGCCTTTCCCCTGATCTGATCCAGAGGGCAGCGCTGGGAGGAGGGGGCGGCGACGACGAGCAGCCCCGCAACATCTGTAAAACTTGAAGGAGGCGGCGGAGAGCAGCACGCGAGCCGGAGAAAAGCGAGAGGGACAACTTTTCCGACACGTGAGTACCTCGGCGCGATGTGTTTGTTCCCCTCCTTCGGTGGCTGCGCCGAGCCAAAACAATGCGGGGCGGTGGCGGGGCTGGAGGGGACGGGCGGAACGGGACGGGACGGAGGGGTTCCCCCTTCTCTACAAAAACTGTTTGGTACCAGGCGGTGGATTTGGGGATACTTCTTGGTTTTTTTTTTCTTTTGCTCCCTCTCTTCTTTTGCTTCTTTTTCTCCTCCCCCCCCGTTCTTTTTGTTGAACCAAATCAGAAATGTCAGTCAGTGCGAGTGAGTCAGAAGGGATCAGATTACAAGATCACTGAAACTGATGTCGGACCCGCGCACACACACCCCCACACGGAGGCAGAGGCGCGGGCTGCTCCCCGCGGGAGGCGGGCAGGGATAAAACACCCACCACCAACACCCGCCGGCCCTCCTCTGCCGCCCCCGTCCCGCCTGTGTCCCGTCCCGTCCCCCTGCCCCGCGGGATGCCCGCCGGCCGCGGCGGGGGCCGGCCCCGCTAGCCGCGGCGGCGGGGGAGCGGCGCGGGGACGAGCCGGCGGCCCCGGCCCTCGCCCATGGGCAGCGCGGGGGCTCGGCGGCAGCGGCGGCAGGTACGTACCCACTTGGGCGAGAAGTTCTTTGTTCCCCGGCTCTACTCCGGGCCACTTTCTTGGCGTCTGCCAGCGCTCCGGCCCCGCTCCCGGCCCCCTTCCCGCTTCCCTAAGTTGGAGGCGGGGGTCAGGGGGGACCGAGGTGTCTAACCCCCAAAATGGCTGTCACGGAGCGCGGGAGCCGAGGGCGCGGGGTGCGGGGCGAGGCGGGGGCAGTCCCCGCTCCGGGCCGGGCTCGGCCGGGCACGTCCCGCGGCAGAGCTGCCGATGTGCGGGCGACAGCTGCTGCTTTATTTCCACCCCCTTCTTTCTCCTCGCCCCTGCTCCCCGAGCGACTCCCGGGGGTTTTCACGCCCGTGCGGCGGGAGGCCGGCACAAACTTCGCAGGGGGAAAGGCGAGAGGAGCGGGGGAGAATCCGCTGTCACATCTGGCGGGGCGGAGGGGCGCCCGGGGGTCGTCGTTCGCTGCCGGCTGCTCCCGGCGAGGAAGGGGCCGGTCGGGTGCCGGTCGGGGAGCGCGGGGGTGCCGGCCGTGTCTGCTCCGAGCAGAGCGGCGCTGGGCCCGCTCCGCGCTGCCGCTGGCACGGCGTCAGGCGGGGGAGCGGGGCGGCGGGACGGGCCCGGCCGGGCCGGGCCGGGCCGGGCGGGAGGAGCGGGGCGGCTGCCCCACGGGAGCTGCTCGGAGCCGCCCCGGGCCGGCACCGCGGCCCGGCCGTGCGCCGCCCAAGTTTGCAGGGTGGGAGCAGAGCGTGCCCGCCGCGGTTCCGATTGTCCCGTGGAGCCGGTGGGGTGTTGGCGCAATTCCCGCGCCTTCGGACGGGCCCGCCGGCTCGCAGCTGCTAGCGCCCGCTCCCCAGCCCGCGCACCACGTGAAGAGAAAAGGTAAAAGGAAACACACGCCCCTCGCTCCCCATCTCACTCCCCAGTTTTGTTTTTAACCCTCTGGTGCGTAGTTTTTATCCGGTCCTGCGGGTGCGGTGTCCGTGGCCTTCTGCCAGTTTGTATGTAGATATATTTATGTAAAACATTTTCTCCCAGCTCCTTGCCAGCTGTTCCACATTTTCCAGCTGCCACTTCAGTTTGAAATGATGGACTGTTCGGATCTCAAAGAGCCTTTTAGTCAGAGGTACGGATAGCTGTCTGTTTGATACACAGTGTCACGTTTTAGAGGCTACTTCACTAAAGGAGCATTAAGTAGCAACCCACGGCAAAATGCTCCTCTTCCTCGCGCCCCTGCTACTTCCCGCTTCATTTCCAAGCCTCAATAAACACGATTTTTTAAGCTTCAGCGTGCAGACTTCGTTTCTTTTGTGTGCGTGCTACAGAAAAACTTGGAAGCTAAATTTTCCAGAGACCTCGAGACATGTGGCTGATTAAACCAACAAACATTTTTAGGAGGGCACGGTTGACTCTCTGTGTCTCTGTGCTATAGGCATCTGTTTTGAAATCGTTTAAGTCACTGGAATAGAGAGAAAGAACTATGTTTCACTGTTTTCCAAAATTGTTTTTGGTGTGATGTTCAACGAGATTATGGATTGAAATGTGCCAGAACTGGTCTTAAGTAGTTTGAATATTTGTGCAATTGCATTGTAATTTGGGAAGGTGCCTCACTGATTGATTCCTATAATTATTTCATTTAGGTCCTTTATTAAAAATTGATAATGATCTGACAGTTTCTTAATTATATATGTCATGATTATTTTGAAGGAAGACAAATGCAGTGTTTTAAAAGTATTGTAACCTTAAAATGTAAAAATTGCCATCTTCACAGCACTGTATTTCAGTCGTGGAAATATATATTAAAACTAATGGTGAATGAGTTTAGCAATGTAAACTGTAGGCAGCCTCTTGAGAGTTGTTTATATAAGGAAGGTTTGGGTATAACTAGCTAGTATGTAAATACTTTCAGTTTTGTGTATAGCCCAATTCTAAAAGCATAAATAATAGTAACTATGAGAGAAGGCTATTTTACGAAGAGGGAATTATTTCTTTAAAAGCAGGATTATTTGATTCTGAATGAGTAGGAAGAATGAGTAAGAAAAGGACTCTCTCGGTGTATGTGTATTCTTTGAAGCAGCAGTGGAAGCAAAACTGTGGCTTGAGGTGCCAAAATGAATGCACTCTTGCATTCTGGCAATAGCATATTGTTTTCAGCAGGACATGATGTTTTCCAAAGCTTTTCTGTAGAAGTACTGCAAAACAAAGACATCACCTGCATTTTCCTGCGTAAGTGGAGTAACATTTTTTGGCTTGAGAAGGTGTGCAGTGGCCAAGAAAGAGTTATTACTGCTATACGTAATCATCAGTTGTGAGATTGTTCGTTTTCAAACACAAAAACAGTTTGTAGCTAAGAAATTGAAGTATCAATGGCTACAAGTGATTTTTTTTCTGAATAGTGTTGGAAAAACCAAAATACTCAAGTTTGGAGACATCAATATAATTTGTTCATCTCGCAGATCACTCAAATTTTTAACAAGATTAATGTATGCACTGATATTGACCCATGAAAGTTTCAGTTACACTTCCTGCCTCGTTGTGGGGAATGCTATTCAATTACCTGCACTCCTGTAGTGTGTTTGAATTCTAGTCTGCATATTAGAGGAAGGAACGGCAAATTTTTTTTTTTTGTTCCAGAGTGTTAGTGAAAAGTTAGTCATCTTTGCCTGATAAATAAGGAATTTAAGGGCTATTAGAGCAGGGTTTATTTCAAGTTATGGAAGGACGCGTTTAAATGATCAGCGTTGCATGTGTTCCACTATGTGGGGACAGAAATGTACAAAGAAAAAGCAAACTTGAAGGAAAAGTGAATCAACGAGTCATGAAATCCTCAGGAAAACCTTAGTAATGGAATGTTAATGCTTTTAGACTATAGTAGATTACCTTAAAAGTCAGGCTTTTCTTCTTTATGCAATTGTTGTAAATCCCTAGCTAAAGAATACTTTGAAGAAAGCTTTAGTTTTTCTGGCACTCATATTCTGTAGTAATTCTGGTTGTTTTGGAATATTCAAGGTATTTTCTGCCAAATTGCAGTTAGGCATTTAAAATGCTAAAATGGCTACAGAGGAAGCTTTTTATTCAACAAAAGGTTCAGCTGTAATAATGATTTCAAGTTGTCTTTTAACCACAGGTTTTATAGACATCCTCCCTTTAGACTCTGTCATTTTTATAAGGGAATTGATTTGTTATACTTTAAAATCAAATAAAATGAGACAGAATAAACAAAAATAGGCCATGGGTGCTGCTGCAAACTTTTCAAGTTCTTTCAGTGCATTTTTCATCTTTACTTTTATTTGATAGGTCTGTGAAATAGAGCTGTAGACTGGCAGACTTTAAATGAAATTTCACACTTTGATGATTTTTTTTAAACTTTGATATATTGACAGCAAAAGGAGCTGCAAAGCTTTTATATAACTTGAGCAGTAACGCCAAGCAGCAGTCAAACGTCTCTATGCATTTGTGTTTAACTGCAGAAGAAAAACATGTCCATGGGCAGTAGAGGGTTCTTATCAACTCCCTAATCCCAGATCCCAGCAAACCTTGAGGGCATGCCTCAGATCTTGCTGAAATCATTGTAGACTCTCACAGTTTGCAGATTAAATATGCTATGTGTTCCTGGCTCCAACAACAGTTTTATGAGCTCACTAAGCTTCCTGTTTTAAGATCCTTTTCTGAAGTTTTTAGGAGCTGCTAAGGGCGATGCTGTCTATGGCAAGTGGTACTTGTTAATTTAGGGACACTTTAGGTATTTCATTCTGTCTGTAAAAAGAGCCAAAATTGCTATTTTCAAATTAGAAGTCGAGTTGCACCGAAAAAAAGGAACTCCTTTAAAGAGGGATTCTGTTGTTTTAATGTGTTTGTCAGTACACAAGGTGACAAAGTTTATAAGAGGCTTGATTTGGTTTATGGGGCTCTTTAAAACGAGACTTTTTCAGTTGTAATTCTAAGCACAATGCAGCTTTTAGTACATAATTTCTGAGCCTCTTTTAACCAATTGTGCTTGTAGCAGCTCATTAAACATACCTTTGAAGTTCTTGTTCTCCTTTACGTCTCAAAGAAGGGAAAATATATTCTGCCAAGAATGAATTTCAGTGAATCAGGTGGTTAACCCTGGGATTTGTTGACCCTTCTGAATGTATGGCTTCCCCCTCACATTCAGAGTCTGGTCTTTTCTAGGTGCCAAATAGTTAACTCTTATATTTTATTCACTGTAATCATGTTTATGTATTCGGTGTAATAGTTTTAATTAAAAAGGAAAATACTTATTGTCCAACAACATGTGTCATACTATTCCCGAGAGAACTTGAGCCAATTTTGTGCTTAAAGGTTATTCAGTGAATGAAATTTTGAAAGCCCATTTGTCAAGGTACGGGCACGGTTTCTGTTAGTTTTCAAGCCCCAAA